AGTATTCTCACCATATGGCTCCTGGCTGGATCTTGGTTGTAGACCAGGCTAACCTCAAACTCACAGACATCTGCCTGCCTCTGTCTCCCTGCTTCTGAGTGTTAGGTGAAGATGTGGGCCAGCCCCCACTCCCATTCTTGCTTTTGAATACAGAGGATTACTCAGTAAATTATGACACAGCATTCTTGTAAAAATGAATTTCCTGTTTGTGTAAGTTCTGACTCTAGAGAAAAACGTAAGCTTATTTTGATAGATTTCCCTTCAACTGAATCACAACAGAACAAAACATAGTTCACAATGATTTGACCTGTAAATTAAATTTAACACAAGTAAAGAAATTAAATTTTATTAGTGACAAAAAAACTGTTCATTTTCGTTCATCTTGACACTATATATGAGATTCTGTAGTGAGTTAAGATTCACTAAATTAAATAAAATTCAAAGTGCATATTTCTAATTAATAAATGTGTCAACAATATAAAGCTAAATAAATACCACTGTTGTAAGACGTTTCACAGCCACACATATTTTAGCCTTAAACCTTCAGTCTAGTCAATAGCTGCTCACGAGTGTTCGGGTTTTCAAACAAGGCATTTGATTCCCAACCTCGAGTACTTCTTTAAAATCTTGACCTAAAACGAACAGACAGAAAACAAAACAAAACAAAAAAACAAAAACCACCTTACATTTGGTTTTCTTATCCTTGCATGACCATGCCTGCCTGTAGTCCCAGCACTCAGGAGACAGGGACTAGCCTCATTTTTTTTTCTAAGGCAAGACTTGTCGTGCCCTCCAAACATGTGTTTTCAACACATGAACTTTGAAAATACAGCAGTCCATACCCTCGGGCTGTTTTGCGTGACACTTTGAGGCAAGTGCAAGGCAAATAGGAAGTTGAGTGAGGAAGACAAGAAAGCACTCTGCAAAGAATCCGTTCTCTTCAGCACTTCTACCACGAAGGTTGTGCTGTTTTTGCGTCATTAAATGTGGGTGATGAGTCCACATATAGCCATTAAATTATCATCAGTAATGTTAAAATATTTGAATTTGCTCGTAATTAAAAATAAAATTCAACTAGGAGACAGGATGTCACAGCTTTGTGGCATTGCATAGCTCACAGACAAACATCTCATACAACCTGCGTAACTTTTAGGGACTCAGATATCTTTCTGTTTTATTTAGTTTGCTTTGTTTTTTGTTTTGTTTTGTTTTGTTTTGTTTTTCCCTTCTTTGAGTAAAGGGCAACTTTTGCTCAGAATTCAGAGCTTACTAAAGCAAAGTTGAATTAATGTTTTCCAGAATTATTAGGGTATCAATTTTGGTGGTGGATGCTGGAGACAGAGGTTAAAAGGGAATTCATTAAACCTCTTCTTCCAAGTTCCTTTTTCCATTAATGTCAAATTAAAAACTATTTACTCAAACTTCTCTGCCATGTGATGGAAATTAGCCACAGTGAACCAACGTGATGATCTACAGCTGAGCACTTCGATTCTCCTCTTATGCATATAAGCATTAAATATAAATATATAAGCATGCAAGTGTATGCTTCTGTTTGAGCCATTTTATAAGACATGGTATAGAACTAATTAATTGGGAATTACATATATTCTAAGAATAATTAAATGATTTGTGAAATAATATGAAACAATGGTAGTTAAATAATTCATTCTAAGCCAACACATTCCTTATTTCAAGATAAAAGGACAGTTACTTTTCGGCTTTTAAAGGACATGTCGGAGCTGTGATCAGTGGCAGTGTTGACCTTTGCTTCCACGTGCTCTGAGTTAATTCCCTAGTAGCACACACACGCATGCACAAATAAGCCAAAATATTAATAGGTGATGCTAAATTCTGGTAGGCAGTCTTTTCTTGTATTTTTATACTGTTAACCCATTAATGATGATAACAGTGCCAACATCTACTGCTGCCCAGCAGCCTCTGAGGTAGATAGTTTACAGTCGTCCCACATCAGCTGCCAAGTGCTGAGATTATGAACAAGTGCCATCATACCCACCCAGAACTATTTTTATGACAAAAAAAAAAACCCTTGCTTACTCTTTGAAGATTAAATATATAATGCAAATATATATTGCATTCTTTTTTAATTGTTAAGTTGCTCTGATTATAAAGTAGAAATAAGTGACACTTATAATGCAACAACATACACTTATAAGATATATGTATTACAATAAAAGAAATAGGAAACAGGTATATACATATATTGATACTTAATAAAGTTTGAAATTAAAACATTATCAATATCTGTCCTTTGTATTTAACATTTTTAAATGAAGGCCAAAAAGTGTATGAATATGTCTAAACATGTATATATATATTATATATATGCATATATATATGCATACACGCACACATATATGAAAGCATTTGTGTATATGCAGTTATAGCATGAGAAAAGCCAATGCATTTTAAAACCATGCAAACATATTTTGGGCTTAAATATAAAATGGAGTTAGGTTCTAAGTTCAGATACAATCAATATCCCCAGTTGCACAGCAGTAGTATAAGTTTAAAAAATATGCTATATGAAAACTATGTAAATATCTTTGTGTTTATACATGTAATAGGGCCTAAATTCTGATATTATAAATAGATTTCATCTGTGTGAATATCTAATGCATTTGAAAATTACAGGCCCAAAGTCTAGTTCTTCCAGGAGACTCCAAGACAACATCAACCTCATTTGTGGTAGCCAGACATCTCCGGCCAAACAAAACAAGAGTTCTGAACTTTCTAAAAAGGGATGACAGGGCCTATTGAGAGTCACCCAATGGCGCTTCTGGAAGGGGTGGAGCCTTATAATCCATGTAGGCAGAGGGGTGTGAGGAAAATGCGGGAGACCCCATCTTTACATGAATACTGATGCGGCCGAAAACGCGGGAGGCCCCATCTTTACATGAATACTGATGCGGCCATTTTCCCTGAAGGACCTAATGCTCTCGGGCAGTTCCGTTTGAAGACGCGCTTTCTGGTTCTGTAGCAACTTCAACTCAGAATTTAAAATAAAAGGGAGCATGCAGCTCGGGGATAGAACAGGGACTCAGCACGTGTGGGCCCCAAGCTCGGTCTCCAGCACCAAAAAAGAAGAGAGAGAAGAGAGGGAAGGCTAGGTTAAAAGAAAGAATGAGTGAGGAGGAAGAGAGGGAGGGGTGACAATCTTGTACACTAGTGGGGTTTTACAGAATGGTGTAGCGGGGTTCGTGGTGAGAAGACACCTCCTGGGGAGTGCAAGCCAATTGTTGAGAACTTTCATTGCGTGTTGAAGGGTTTCCAAGAGAGGGTGTGACCAAAGTGCAGAGGTAGAAAATGTGGCATATGGGAGCCACAAATGCTTGGTGGTGACTTTAGTGTCGGCTTCACAAAAGTAGTGACGAGATGGTGCTGGAGACGTCAACCAGACCCCGGACTTCGCATACTCCTTCATCTTATTGTCTCATCTAGGAGCCATTACATGGATTTGAACAGGAGTTGAGTGGTATCAGATTTATATTTTAGATTGCTGTGGACACTTTGAAAGTAGGAGTAAATAGCTAGAAAGAGATGATCATATAAGCTAAGGCTAGTTGTCAAAAGGCTGAGAAGACAAGGATCAGACGTTACCTGGAACTAGATCTCTGTGACCTTGATGATTAGTTCCACATAGGAAGTTTAGAGGAGGTTAACCAGGCTGCCCAGTGGACACTTAGCTGTGTGCCTAACAGGATGAGGATGCCATAAACTGAGTTGTGTATTGGAGACAAGATAGAGTTTTATCTTGTTATCGGTAGAATAAAGCACTCTAGAATGATCATAACTTGAGTTTTTTTTATTTGGCTTGAAAATGACTAAAAAGCTTATGTGTATGACTAGTGAATAATTGTGTGGATCTAAAGGCTAAAGGCCAGGCCCATAGATGAGATAAAGAAACGAGATATAGTGGAGGGAACAATGAAACCAATGACCTGTATGTGGAAGAGGTCACCCAAAGAACATGTACGAAGAGTTGGAAGTCTGGATGGAATTAGGGCTCGGTGAAGAAGTAGAAACCTAGGAGAGATCAGAGCAGAATGGAAACCAGAGGTCATTGAAAGAAGAGTACACCAAAGGTCAGGGAAGAGATAGTCATCAGCTGATTAAATGACACCAGGTAATACAAGATGAAAACCATTTTAAAACAAGTTCCTTGGGTTTGGCAATTGAGTGATCATGGATAGCACCCATTTGTCTTTTTGCAAGCATTTGTGGAGAACATGCTTGTGTGAGGATGTGTGCAAGACCCTTAATGGAAATAATGGAAAGATGTGCAGAGGGCTGTAGAGGTGGCTCAGCACTTGCTTGCAACCCTGAGGACCGGAGTTCACACCTCCACAACCATGTAACAACACCACACACTCCCGTAACTCCAGCTCTCGAGTTACAGATTGCCGAAGCTAGCTGACTTCCAGCTTAGCCAAGCAAATGAAAGCCTCGGGTTTGCATGCAGACCCTGCCTCAAGGGAACGGGTAGAGAATAGTGGAAGAGGACACAGATCTCTTCTGCTCTCTGGGCTCGATCACAGAAATGTCTTGTCCCCTCCGCACCCCCACTCCCACAGATACAATACAAACACAAATAAATACATGGACAAATAGATAAATTAAAATATGTACATGACCTGGACCAGAGTAGACTTTATTAGCCAGGGCTTAAGCAGAGGGGTGCAGATAATTAGCGGTCCCAGTGATAGACTAAGCAGGGCTGTGCCGAGGCACCCAGAGACCCAGTGTCATGAATAATGTGCCTCCCTGCAACTCTACTGATCTAGTCAACTGCTGATGGCCAATCATTTCTTAGACCAAATGTCATTTCCTCAGATAAACCTCTTCTCACCCTCACCACCAGATCCAGCTCCCCCATGAGGTGTTCTTCCCACCCATACTTCATCGTCTACATAGACTTTTTTTATCGTTTGGGAGATCTATTTTTGTACAGTTGACTAACATCTGTTACACTTTAAATAATACACTTCTTACAAGCAGGATCCATGTAAGATCTTTATCAGCAACCAAGTTATTGTCTGTTGGACAAAGGAATATATTAAAAGACAGCTGGATGTCTCTGGAACGTAGGTTGTGTTCCGCTGAGGAAGAACTGAGATGTGAATCAGAGGAACATAGAGTTCAGAGTGATGTTTTTAAGTGGCAAAAAGGGCAAGGTGGGAGTAATCGAGACAGCCACGGGAAATTAATGGATGGCCGAGGTGTCCAGAGCAGAGGGGAGGGGCTGAGAATGAGTGTGAAGGACAAGATGCTGAACTCCAAGGTTTCTGAGGACAGGGGACTTAGGCTCGGGGGAGCTATGGTAAAGGAGGGAAAAGGAAGTGAGGGACTAATTTGTAGCAAAGTTCTACATGGGGATTTGGAAATCGGACAGTGTTTTACACCCACTTCAAGGACTTCCTTTCATCATAAACCAACTGTAATACAGAAGCATGCATAACACTCTCTGTAGCTTACTGAAACCAAATACATTGGAGATGATTAGAATTGCCTGTGCTGGCTTTACTGAGCTAACATCACAATAGGAGATACCAAGTCATCGTAAAATCAACATTTTATTTATTGTTTAGGACATGTTTGGGCTGGAGAGATGGCT